CACACACACACACACACACACACACACACACACACACACACACGCACGCACACTGTCCCAGATGGGCACGAGTGCACGTACTGCTGCTGAGCCTGCACACATTTTGCCATCATGCTTCAGATAACCTGTTCAGACAGTCAAGCTACACTGAAGGGTGATAAGGGTGTCTCACCACAGCAATTTGCTCCCAGCTCGTATTTCTTTTATTTTTTATCTTTTCTTTTTGTGTGGAGATAGTTGAGATGGAAAAGAAGTCATGTGTCAAAGTGGCTTTTGTAATAGATTTTCATTCCTTTTGGCCAAAGAACATCATGTATTCAATCTGGAAACGTTGGAGTTGACATTGCACAGACATTTGTTTCAATGACAAGCACACAAACATTTTTGTTTTGTTTTTTTCCTGAATGAGAAATGACATCAAGTTTGCATTTGTGCCCTATCACGATGCAGCACTCCACGGTCTGCCTTTGATCACACCACAACCAAGCCATGTTGATATCTTCAACTTCCTCATCTGCAGTTGATTTACTCCCCCATGTGTCCTCCCCTCTCACTTCCTCTCTGTGTGTGATCTGTAGGCCTGGCTGTATTCTTATCCAGTCCAGAAAAACGTGTATTCATTTTGCATTAGGATGTGGAAACTGTCCTAAATAAATAAAAACTGGCCAAGCATCTTGACGCTATGATTAAGAAAAGTCTCCAGAAGAGAGACAAGAACAGTTCACTCTATAAGTGTGTGAGGAAACCAAACCAATGAAAAACTGCATAAAATTAATTACTTCTAGGTCTTTCCATCTCAAATCAGGCAGATTTTTCAAACATTTTCTGTTTGGTCAGTGGAAGTTTTTGCTTCCCTTTCTTACCATCAAAATCGATATGGGGTCTTTATTTAGAGACAGATTTATTTAGAGTACTGGCTAGTTAAATGTGAAAAAAAGAAGAAAATATATAGTTCTTTCTCTCGTTCTTTCTCTCATTTTTGGTTACCACATCAATATTAAACTTTCACTTACCACAAACTTGTCAAGCGCCGTGCTTCCTGCATTAGCTACAAAAATGCCTGAATTGTGTGAAAAGGTGAGTTTCTCTGGCCTACGATGGAAGTCCTTACTCTCGGCCTCTCCACAGTCCAAGTAGAGACGGACCTCATTATGCTCCACCACCACCTGACAGGCAGAGACAACAGACGTCAGTCCACAATGACTTGGACAAAGTTAAACCACTCATCTTAGTGGAAGAGTCTTTTTATCTTTTGTCGTTAACCTGGATGAAGCTCACCGTGAATCGTGTCCACTGGTCAGTCATATCCGGGACGCTAAAGGCAGCCGCTTTGTGGCTGTGGGATGCCTGCTCCTGGTCAGTGTAGTACAGTAAGATGCTCTGGAGGCCCTCGCGAACTGGAGTGAGGGCCAAACCCAGCTTCACCACCTTGCGTTGGGCATCTGTGATGGCAAAGAGCATGCCACCTCTCTGGCTAGCTGGGCGCACCTGGAATAATACGATGGTGTGAGGAAAAAAAAAGACTTTAAGCCTTTGCTTCCACATCCCTTTCACATGAAATTCAGTCATAAGTGAGTATATGAAAACATTAAAGAGATATTTTTCTGTATTCACAGTTTTTAAACAGGGACAAACATATGAGTTGCTTTAATGTCGACATTTCACACGGTGATGACACAAGGAGCCATTCGCCCTCATAAACCGTCATATCTTTAGTTATGACAACTGAGCATGTTGACAATCAAGGAGGCTAGAAGATTGTAGGGTTACCGTGACGATGATAGCAAAGTCCTGGTAGAACGATCCCGGCACAAAGGTTTTGGTGAGTCGGCCGACATTGGCTTGAGACCCAAATTTGTAGGCTGGATGACCCTCAAAGCCAGCAGTGAAGGACACAGAGGGAGGGAGGGGGAAGCCAATTAAGTCCGTCAGGTTCAGATAACTTCCTGAGCCTTGCTCTGACAGAGACAGACAGGAATAGTATATTAATAAATGCTGTACGTGGAGAGTGAGAGAGATAGAAAACAAGACAAAACACACTGCTGCACTTTTCATTCAAGTTTTATTCTTTCAAATCCTTCCCAGAGACACTAAAAATCCTAAATGTGTAGTATATTATATTTAAAGGCAAGCGTTCTGAACACACACTGCAATATTTAGCCTTAAGTGCAGATGAACCTGATCCAAATTGCAGTTATCTTGTTTTAATGTCTCAACCTCCATCTTCATCCCATTTGTCTGCCCTGTGTGTTCCTGGTTAATTCGCCACTTAAAATGAGGAGGAGAGGTACTTGTGATCCTGACACGGTGTTAATTTGACTTGATTTGATCCAGACTCTGCCCACCACGGCTCACTGCTCTGCCTCGTATGGACATAATCCTCAGAAACAGAATAACCGGCAATCAGAGTGCTTGGTGCATATGTGAAGAGACGGTTTCACATTCCCTTGATTCCTCTCACTGTGAGGCCTGTCTCCCGTGGCGACACTCACCTCAGCATTCCAGGCGTGCTCGTCCCTGTTATCTAAATCTTTGTCACTTACATGCACGTGTATAAGATCTGCATAAGCTTAAGATCAAACGTACAGGTCACCCATGTGAACGCACACAAACACCAGATCAGACAGATTAACATTTAGGGCTCTCTAATTCATCAGCCTGGCCAACAGGAAACATACCTGATTAGAGGGTTTGGTATGTGTGCCACTGTGTGTATGCATCACTCAGTGCACCGCTCACCACGGCACATTTACACTTTTCTTCCTGCAAACAAATACACACACCCAAGCCCACACACCTCCAGTCCAGATGTGCAAGCATTAGTATCCTGCTATGGGAGAGCTGGATTTACAGCTAGACGTCCTAGTGACGACATCTTGGGTGTAGCAAAGTAATGCAGTAACTTAGAGCCAGTCTTCATTGTTAAAATACATATTTGCAGACTAGTTCAAAACACTATTTTGGTTTCCATGGGTGGCTTCTCACTTCATAACAACTATAAAAAGGTCACTTAAAAAAGACAAAATGAATCCATTTCAATACTGGGCAGATGAGATGCGTGGCTACTTTTATTGCCTTACGCGTTTTGTGAAAGATAAAACAGCCTGCTGTGTGCTACAGCCAGTCCAAAGTGTTGGTGAAGGAAAATAGCAGCACTTAGTCTTGGTTCTTGGGTTTGTATCTGTATAGTTTATGAATACAGCTTGCTAACCAAGCTTCACAGGCCAGTTAAGGCTTTTCAGTGGTGACAGCAAAGACGCAGATACTCAGACTCCTAAACCAAAGGGTAATGTCATAGTCGCTATAGCCATCTTGTCTATTTTGCAATTTAATTTGACCTCTGCACCAGTTTTGATGAACTTCAGCAGGTTATCATGATGGTATAGTGCAGCTAATTAAAATGTACTTGCTTGACAGGCCGAGCGGTTTCAAGTGATTAGTGTTGTCCATGTGTGAAGCTACTTCTCTGTCCATTACACACAGCCAGTTACTTCAAAATAAGGTGCTATGTCAACAGTTAATATAATGACTTAATCTCCTATATTGTAAGGTATAGAATTGATTCTAATTTGTGTTTTCATGATCGGGGCACTCTAAAGACCAGATTTACTCAGGTCTCTACACCAGGACAAAATGCTGTTTATATGCTGTCAGCATCAGCGGTTGTGGCACCGAAAATGTGGAATGATCTACCTCTCCACATTAGAAAGGCCCCGACTGTCACTCTTTTTAAATCGCATCTTAAAACATATTTTTTTACTCTGGTTTTCGAAACTGTATGAGAGTTACCGATTCTTTTATCCTAATTTTCTTTTAATTTGTTTACCTGTTGTTGTTGTTGTTAATGTCGTTGTTTAATTGTTATTTTGTACATCACTTTGGTCAGCTCCTGTTGTTATTAAATGTGCTTTATAAATAAATGAATGAATGAATGAATAGGACACAAATAAATACAGTTTTGTTATTTTAACCTCAGCACAAAACTTTCGCAGCAGGAAAATCTCATGTGAATCAGAGCTTTAACCAGCGAGTGAAAAAAACACAAAAAGCATCTGAATTTAAAAAAATGTTGGACCGACAAAAACTGGCCCTTACATTTGTTCCTGTATGTCTGCTGCATGTATAAATAGTAACCCATTTGCTCAAAGTTGTATAAAGTATTTCAGTTAATGCCGTTTTTCAGCCTGTACCAATGCCCAGGACACATCAGAGTAAATACCTGTGCAACAATAACTCCCAGAGTGCCCATGAACAAATCCTGTGTTAATCACATGAAAGTGATTAACACTAGAACCAGCAAGAGGCTCATTTTGACTGCAGACTGAGGTGGAGCAGTGTGGATGGTGAATGAGACTGAAGCTGCAGGTCCTGTGAAGCAGAGGTACTCGTGGACGTGTGATAAACTTACAACAGTTCATTTATTATGTTTCTGGTTTTATTGGAGCCAGCTGTGAGCTTAATTTGAAAACAAGCTCTTCAATCTGTTTCAGTGTGTTTCATACCTTCTCTTTTATATACCTTGTCAAATCTGAGTTATTATCAAACAAATTTGTAAATGTAAATTAAGTATTTAACTATTTAACAGGACAGGGTCAGAATGATCCTCGTCCATGGTGGTTCAATACATTCACACTCATGATTCTTGAAATTACATTTTATTAGTTTTATTGTTTTTTTGTTACTACTCCTCATTTCACTAATTTAATATTTTCATCAAAGTGTCATCATTAATAAATGCATTAATTCACCTAATACTCAGGTCTCAGCTAGCATTTTAGACAATCATACAGTATTATTATTATTATTATTGTTGTTATTATAATAATAATAATAATAATAATTATTATTATTATTATTATTATTATTGTTATTATTATTGTTATTATTATTATTATTAATATTAATATTATTATTATTATTATTGTTATTGTTATTATTATTATTAATATTATTATTATTATTGTTATTATTATTGTTGTTGTTATTATTATTGTTATTATTATTGTTGTTGTTATTATTAATAGTATTATTGTTATTATTGTTATTATTATTATTATTGTTGTTGTTGTTGTTGTTGTTGTTATTATTATTGTTGTTGTTTTTGTTGTTGTTGTTATTATTATTATTATTATTGTTGTTGTTGTTGTTGTTGTTGTTGTTGTGAACTTCAAATCTTAATCATAGTCATCTTGTTTTTTTATTCCTGCTTCTCAAACCTAATCCTCATCTTGGCCACATGAACGCCTAATCAGCTTGCAGACTTATAAAAACCAATATTAACCATGCATAACCTTTTAAACCCACCTCAGCCTTCGCATGCCACACAAAAGCTTCCTGTAGCTTGGCCCACTCTTTCCAGACGTCTCAGACTATAGACTAGGACTAGATCACATACTGGTCAGCAGGGATTCTGTTCTCCTTTATGAGATACACTTAGACAGGATGAAAGACTGTGTAGGCCCACTCAACCACTGAACCATCAACATGACCCAGTAAACAAATAAAGAGAATCTGAGGTGTGAACATTTATGCATAATTACCCGCTCGATGCTTTGAAACATAACTTCCTCTGCAGTCACTCAGAAGCAGAAAATGGTTACCTGGTGCTGTTGTTATTGGAAACTAGTCACGTATGTAGTAATATATAACAGTACAAACAGTTAACTGGAGGATATATTGATCACCCAGCTTTGCTCATTGGTTAAATCCCGTCTTTTACACACTTCATTGTTAGCAAAAACCAAACCAAAGCTAATGACTGTCGCAGCATAACTTTAAAGACATTTTAATTTCTGTTTTACAAATAAACCAGCCTTTACAAGGATAAATCACATAACATTTTTGGTTTCAATTCGTTTCCAGTCTAAGAGATGATAAATGAGAGCTTTGCTTTTTTATGAAATATTGCCACATGTAGCATTTACTGACCACTATTAATGCTACAGCACAAGTAACACTGAAACATTTTTCACAGTCTTTCTGTGTTTCATTTTGTGTAGTTTATCAATCACACACACACCAATAGATACATCTGGGGCAATTACAAGTTCAATATCAAGTATACTGAAGATCAGAGGAGCTGGGGATCAAAGCACCAACCTGCCAGTTCGTGAACGAGCCACTGCCTGAAATAAGACAACTTATTTAAAAACAAGCCAAGCAGCTCTGGATCTTTAGTCTGACCACTAACCAAATCGGATTTCTCTAATGGCTAGTCCCAAATGTATGGAGCACAATGGAGCCTCCCAGAAGTTAGAACACCCGCTAAACTCACCATTTCTCCAGTGTTTCAGGGGTTTGTCCGAAGACCCACTTTTACTGTCTCCACCTGCAGTCTTCCCTGTAGGAAATGTCCAGTGATCTGCAGTAGTGAAACCAGACGGTGACACTCCTAAGCTGGGCTGAGTGGGGGTCAAAACAGACCCTTCTGTGTGAACACCCTCCACAGCATTCACCAGCACCTCGTCCACTTTTACTGACCACACTGGCGTTGTGCCCGGGGTGTCAGAAAATCTTGGATACGTCACGGTCGGAGAGGTAACTGAAGGAGGAATGGTGGTGGTTTTAGGATTTCCCCAGAACAAACTCCACCACTGGCCACTCACAGGAGAGAAGACGAGGAAGAAGAGTGCAAGGGAGAGGTGTGCAGGTTCCATCATCTGCCTGCGTCTCTCTCAGGTGGATGCTCTCTGATCTGTATGAGCGCAGATATTGCACACATGCAAACATATAGGCAAGGAAGATGCTGAGGGTCCAATTATGAGAAGTTACTTTCTGCAGAGAGCAGAAGTAATCCAGGTGATCCAGAGGGACGAAACAAAAAGTGAAAAAACAAGCCGTTTGTCTCCTGCTGCCTCTCTTGTCTCTTTTCCTCTTCGTTATGACCTCTCTCTCCTGCCCTGTTTCCACCCCCCCTGACATCTCCTCTCTGCACACCCCCACCCTCCTTTTTCTCTGTGTAATTATTGACTCCCCCTACTTTGGAGGGGGGACTCTACACCACAGCTGACTTGACTTGATTTTTCTCTCCCGTTGCCTCGCAGACAAGAAGATCAGAGCATTCGTTAACAAGGCCTCAATCTCCTTCCGTGCATCTACTGCCATTTCTGTGATCACACATGTGGTCTAAAAGTCATGACGCACACTGACTGTTATAAAGCAGAAACACAGTGGGAGTGGGGCACAACCATGTGGTCTACACGCAAATATCATCCCCATGGCCGCATGTGTGTGACAAATTAAAAAGGACATGTATCAGTAAGGAAGTGTTTGACATGCCTTTAATGAAATATAACTACATACTGCGCTGCATGTCTGTGTAAGCGCTCAGGTGTTCAGGTCTCCATCATCAGACTGAGGTTAGGATACATCATACTGTGGACAAGTGGAGCAACCAGACTGTTTTCAGAAGGACTCAGAAACTTCATTCTTATCATTTGCTTATGAAGACATGCCTTCCTAAAGTAGCATGAAAGTGCACCATGAAGACCGGCTGACATGCAGGCTTTTCTAATGTGAACCTCAATTATCTGTCAAGTTCATAATGTTATTAATAATGTTTTTCTCTTTAATTATTGAGACATTTTACAAAACAAAACTATTTAGATAGCTGAAACTGGTTAGTGGATGTAACCGTAACATGTTTTGTCATTAGTTGGGTGGTGTAGAGTCCAGAGCAGTGGCGAAGCCTTTGGACCACACACTCCATAAATATCACCCACAGAAATATTGCATTGTTGTTGCCAGATTTATGTTTGTGCAAACCTACAAGAACACCTCTAGTAAAGCTTTGAGGGATGCCTTTTAAGGCTCAGCTTGTTCTACATTCTCACTGACATAAATATGTCTATTTATTTAGAGTTGGAGCTGCAGCTGAATCAGTCTCTGTTTTTCACTATTTTGGGATAGCCTACTATTATTATATATTATATAAAAACATTTTTATGATATATCAGCAGCTATACAGGCATAAGAAGAACTTTTTGCTTAGTTACTTTACACATCATAATAGTTCCCTGTTCTGTCTTGGAGCATGATCAGTGGTTATCTAAGTCCTCACCATCGCTATCAAGTTTGAAACTATTTTTGTCTGTGCTGCTTTGGGGTGGACCAAACCACTAGCAGCTCATAGAGGGGGGAGAACATCCCAAGAAAGCTTTAATACTGTTTAGGATGCAAGTTGTAGTCCAACACGCTAACATTAATAACTATTTTATTTGGTTAAGAATTCATTTTTTCAAAATTTCACATTTCACCGCTATTTTAAAGAGAGTCTCTTGCAACTTAGCCCGACCATATCTGGTGCTACGCTGGCCCCAATTTTGTTGATCATCGTACTAAATGAAACTACAGTGAATCAGGAGGGAAAACATTGCAGAGGCATTCGAAGGGAGGTTTCTTTTAAGAGCACAGAGGGAAAGCTTTGCTTCAGTGTGTCCTTTGGCACATAGTTTTTCGGTCACTTTCTACATACATTTCATACATTCCACTGTAACATAGAAATTGAATAAAAAAGTAAGAAAATTATCAAATATTCATATTATGTGACATTAGATAACATGTGAGAAGACTGCGGTTTAGAGATTGAATGTGTAATTCTTATTCAAAAACAATGAGTTATTCGTGTAATACTAATGTTTTTGATTGTAGTTACATCTCATTCTTGGTTTTTGACTTGTGCTCTCATGTATGTGTCTATAACTAGAAAAGCTCAAATTTCCATCACCATTGCCAGAGAATGGTGCTGTTGGGTAAAAGCAGGAAAATGTCTTCACCTTTAATAGCAAGCGCTCATTTGCTCCCTGACGCAAAATTATGATGATTGTTTCTTAATTGCACGATAAAAGGTTTGGACTTCCCTCTGCTGCCGCTCACTGATCACAGAGCGAGGACAGGGGCCCCACGTTGCTGATGACAAAGGCATGACTGTTCTCTTGTGTTGTGTCTCTGTAAATGTTTGGTGAGGTCCAGGACAAAGGCTGGATTGGTGGTAATGACTGGATTGTGATGTTTGTTTAGGTTTGAGTTTACTTGTACTGTTTGCTGTTTTTGTTTTTTTTTTTAGAACGGAAGTGATTATTTATTTGAGCTAAAAAAACATTTGATTCTGTATATTTCAGTCACATTTTTATTGAGGATAAAGACACCATTTGCCAACCAGTTACTACAGCAAAACAGACGTTTTGCTGTAGTAACAAATGTAACTCAAAAAAACTCAAGTCTCAGCCATGTGTTGTGTGATTTACTTACGGAGTTGAACAAGAACCTAATTCTGTTATTCAGTGTTTTATCCAAGTATCAGTGGCTATCAACAAGTAGCTTTTACTGTAGCTACATCAATCACAGACTTTCTTATGTAGTTGAACTAATTAAAATGAAAAATGGCAACCAGAAACTGTCAATCAAATCGATTTTTTCTTAGCTATTCTCCTACTGGTTGGATGTCTGGCTGGTCACAGCAAAAAGACCACCCAAGGGGAAAAAAGAAACGCCCAAGAATTACAGTATTGTTCAATGCATTGTGTAGTAAAGAGCAGAATACTTCATTTGAACTCATAGTTGAAAGTACTGCTTTTATTAATATTATCACTTCTTTCTTCTGTTTCCTTGTTTTCCACTTATATGTTAACTTAAACTCATGTCTATGCTAAGTCTGCTAAGCCTGTTAGCAGAATCCAACCAACTACCTAACGCAGTGATTTCATGTTCTGCAATTCAACTTTATTTACACAGCGCCAATTCACAACAACAGTATTTGTATTGTAAGGTAGACCCTACAATAATACATACAGAGAAGAACTCAATAATCATATGACCCCCTATCAGCAAGCACTTTGATGACAGCGGGAAGGAAAAACTTCCTTTTAACAGGAAGAAACCTCCAGCAGAACCAGGCTCAGGGAGGGGGCGGGGCCATCTGCTGTGGTCGTTTGGAGTGGTAGAAGGAAGACAGGATAAAGTCATGCTGTGGAAGAGCCAGAGATTAATAACAAGTGTGATTCAGTGCAGAGAGGTCTATGAACACATAGTGAGTGAGAAAGGTGACTGAAGAAGAAACACTCAATGCATCATGGGAACCCCCCAGCAGCCTACACCAGCATAACTAAGGGAGGATTCGGGGTCACCTGATCCAGCTCTATGTTATTTATGTTACTCATTAAGATAAGATGGGGCCTGAATAGTGTGTAATGGCACAAGGTGTTGCTGAACCTGCTCTAAAAACTTGAACTTTAAACACTTATTTCCTTAATCCAGTTTCACAGAGAGTGTTTTCTGAGTAGGGCTCCATCATGTGAATGAGACTTTTACTGACATGTGTGTAATAAACAATGTAATAACAATGCCTAAACTAGCCTGAAATTAACTAGCACCTGAACTCTTGGTTTGTAGATTTGGATAAGGGTTTCTAGCTTGTAAAATAGGACTTGTACAAATCTGCAAATTTATCAGAAATTGTTATAAATTAGACTATTATCTCTTAGTGGTTGTAATAAGAATGTAAGTGTTGCAACTGCATCAGAAATATGAGTCAATGAGCTGATGCCAAATGGAGCCTTTTGGCCACATTCAAACAGTAAATGAAAAGAAAGTGCTTATTTGCAAACATGACCCCAGCCGGGCTTTATGTTGTCAAAAAGTAACAGAAAGAAAGTTGAGCTCTGATGTGCGAAGATGAATGTTAAGGAAAATATTCTAAAACACTTCTTCAGTAAAGACTCAGAGGAGAGAAACACAGAGTTCTTGCTAGCAAGGGCAGTTCCCTACTGAGAGACTCCGGTGAGGAACTGCCCTGGT